ATGTTTTTTGAAGTCTCAAACTGGTTAATATAAACTCGCTGTGCCAACTCGTAGCTTTTCAATTACTATTTCATCAGTATCTTTTTAAATTTTAAACTCTGTGCAATTTAACAAGTTGTGCTTTTACAAATTCTTACAGGTGCAATTTTTTTTTTGGTCGCATTTTTAAATATTACTTCTGAAGCTACCAAAATATCCCTAACAAGGGCACTTTAAAAAACATATTTAGATACACAAATAACAAAATTGATATTGAATTAAAAAGCTACTTTCAGAAGATTAAACGAAAGAAGAAAAAAAATATCTTTTTAATTTAGGAACATTTTGTATGTTATTATTATTGTGAATCTTGTGAAAAGTACATTCCAATTCACATCCTAAGAAACTTTAGGAAGGACAATTTCTCTTTTAGCTTTTTTTGTGAATGAAAAAAAGACGCATAACTAATGAGGAACGAATGAAATCTCAGAAATTCATCTTCTTCAAACCTTTATGAGAAATATTAACACACACAAAATCCATCTGAAAAATGTGTTCAGATACATCTCATTCTCACAAATATAAAAAAAAAGCATCTTGCGCTGTATTTCTTTGTACTTCGTCGCGACCCGGAGATCGCAGGTGTATGAGGGTTTGGAGAAGAAGTACACATGATCTTAAAAATAGATATGTTTATTTTAGATCTAACACTTTATACAACTTTATTGCTTAACCCTGGGAGCAATCTTAAATCTTAATTCTTAATCTGAGATTATTCAAAATGACTTACCATGGATCGTATCGTTATGCAAATCCTTCTCGAACCACAAAAGCTTGGTACAGATTGACTGCTGTTTCTTTCCACTGCTACTGGTGGATTCTAAGACGAATATTAATTTCAAGTCGCATGACTTCCTAGTCCCAGTTCACTTTCTACTAACCTCACCCCCCTCAAAATCACGGTTTAAGTAGCATTTAAACTAAACTAAACTCAGTGCCGCAACAACCCATAAGGGTCAAGCCTACTGCGCCCATCTTAGTATACGTGACCATTGGGCGCTAAGGTGCATGAGCAGATGTCCCGATCAGGTGGTCAATATGAAACGAAACTCCCAGTGTTTCGTCCCCAAACAAGCTTGATAAATGAATGAAAGGCTGAATTAACCTTGCTCAGTCCGAGGATAGAAACCCGGACCTGTGGTGTGGATTGAATGGCATTTACATTTGCATAAAATCAAGACTTCTCTACTGAACTAAAATCACAATTAAAGAATAGTTTCGCCAAGAGGATCAGTAGAAGTACCACGAATAGATCTCGTCACATCATTAAGTACTTCAACAAATCTGAAAGCTAAAATATTAGTTGAAACTTTTAAGTGCAGCGGCGCTGCAATAGCTTGTTTATAAGTGTACGTTTTTCTGTTTGTCTTGTAAATAAACGTGTGTTCTCCTTCCGACGAGTTGCGTTCTTTTGCGTCGCCTCATCTTTCTGACAGGTAAGAGCTTTTATTGAAGTGAAACTTTTTTAGGTTCAATAGTGAATGAGAAAATTTCCCAGTTTTGCGTAACAGTGAAAAAGCGAATGGAAGTAGTCTCCCCTTCCATCCCCCGAATCGTCGCCATGGTAAGGAGAGAGCGAGAGGAGGAAAGGGGGCGGAGACACCACGTGACTTGCGTCATATCGGTTAAAAAGTTAGATAATTGCCCGTGTCTCCGACTGGTCAACTTACTCACTTTCCGATTAGGGGTCCTTTTCCCCCAAACCCGGGAACATTATCAACAGTCGTATCAGTTGCATTGCGAGCATTACGGTGTAGACAAAATAGCTCTCGTAGCAAAAGCGTGCCTTTTTGAAATTTTCTTTAGATTGTTGGCTATATAGCGAGGTATTCGGTTTCTAATTTATTTCTTTAATTTTCATTTGCGTTGAATTATTGTTAATTCTAGTTAAAATACCTAAATGAAATACACAAAGAGGAAAAGAGTTTCGTGAAAGGAAAAAAAAACTAGCGCAAGTCCAGTCGAAAAAGTGACAAAAAAAAATAGTGCAAATTCATCAAGTGCTAGTTCCAAATCTCCATCAGAGTACATGAGAAAAGAACGAGCATGGAAAAAAGCACTGGAAAATACTCTCTTAATGCCCAGTTTCAGGGATGGAAATGCTATTGAGACTCTTCTAATGACAGCACAGATTAATACGGACTTTGTGAACCATCTTGAGCCATTAACTACAGAGCCCTCAACAAGTCTAGTACGTATTGGAACTGATGCATGTGAATCGAAAATAAACTCTATCTTACGTTACAAAGACCATGACCCATAAAAATGCTCACAAAGATTTTCAAAAGCGATTCTTTGATAATCCTTTCGGTCACGGGTGTTCGATTTGTGATAGATTATGGTTTAGAGATGATTTGAGAACGCCTGTTACTGAGCACAAAATATTTTACCGGGAATTAATTTAGAAGATATTAAAGCACTACAATTACCAACAAAGTTTAAGTAGGAAAAGCATACCAAATTTATCAAAATATAATGGCTTGGTATGCCCAGAAATTTCAGCACATATTCCTACTTTGGATTTGGTATCAGAAAGACTCATTTCGCCACGAATACCTTTCATGCAAATTAGGTGACTGAGACATGTACATGGTCAGTTTAGAATATTAGGAGAAATAATCATTGTGTTCCAACGTCACCAAAGAAGTTTCACTTCTATCGCGTGGCGTGCCACGCACCATTTTTTTTCAATTATTATTAATCGAATCGAAAACGAACCTTTGAAATAAATTACCGAATTGATTTACGAATTTGAACAATCTTAAAAGAAAAAGCTTTATAAAAACAAACTCAAGGCTACCCAAGTATTTTTATTTACACTTCAATATAATCCCGAGTTAAACAACGCGTTGATAACAGGATTTTGTATAGCTTTAACACTGCATTCATACACAAATAAAAACAGTTGTACAATGTTTTTTAACAACTCCCTATTTGCCACTTTAAAAAATAAAACTCCAATAAGCAAATCCAGTGTCTAGATGTTGGAACCGAAACAATAACACTCCATTTCTTAGATCTTAGCGAAGGCTCCTCCTCTCAACGAAGATAATACAAAACCGGGAGCAAATTACGTTCATCTACCACAAGATAACCCAACGGCTCGACACCTCGCAACTGATAACTTACACTCTACCCTTTCCCGTGGTGTTCATCAGCAAAAGAAAGCTCTCTCATTCAATTTTCATTTAAATCTCATAACCTGAACCCAGGGAAAAGTTCCAGGACGCGGGGATATTACACTTCATATATTACTGCAAAGAATAAGTTTTGTGAGGGAAAGCACAATCAAGGGAGAGGGTTGGAACAAAAATGCAGTGAGAGGGCTCATCAGTAATCTTGCATTAGAAGTTTAGGGTGGATTGCGTGGAATGTGCTTTTTGCAATGGTGGAATGCCGAGGCTGTAGACAGGAAAGGTTTGTTATGGAATTCAGAAGGTAGTAGGAGAGATGAGAGAGTCAGATTCAAGAGTGTTTTAAGGATATATGATTCGTTCCTAGGTGTTGGAGAGCTGCGCTTTTCCATTACCCATGACTGCTTCTGGCACTTATCTACGGAAAACATATTTATAATTTGCATCATCGCATGAAACGTTGTTTTCTATATTTACTTAGTTGTGAAGCTCGTGCAATGAAATTTCAACTTTTTCTTTGTTATTTAAACATGTAATATATAAAAAAAAACTATTAAAGTCAATTCCTACTTAGCTCAACAAAGAAAAAAATTATTTCAGTTACTTTTTGTTAAATAATTACAATTAATATAAATATGTATATATAGTATATAAATACAAATATGCTAAGTTACACAGTTAATATAAGTGTGTATGCAGTAACGCACACAGGAATTTTTCAAGAAGGGGGTCCGGGGTCGAAAGTTCACCATTCTTGTATCATGCTCCTTTTGATTTTGTCGATTTTCGGGAACAAAACAAAGTAAAAAACTAATTATTGAATAAATAATTAGCATTAACTAATAAAATTAATCATTAACAACAAATAATTAAATTTTACGTATTATATACTTATAACTAAAATCAATAGGGAAAAAAATCAAGGGCTTTGGGGGTGGTCCGACCTCCAGGACCCCCCCTGTGTGCGCCACTGTATGTATGACAAAATCACAATATTAAGGTAACCGACTACGTTCGGAACCGTGATTTTAAAAAAAAGAGCACAAATGGATAATTTTCATGATATTTAGTGTCATTTAGATTAGAATACAAGTATAAAATTGTTTCAAGGACATTTTGACAAAAAAAAAAATGATTTAAATACAATATTTTGGCAAAAAATTAACTTAGAATAATATTTTTTCAAAATCTCCTTTCATAAAAATTGCTTCTAAAATAATATTTTACTTGCATAAAGTAAAGACTTCTCCAGAGAGTCTGAACTAGGATTTTTGAAAAATTCACATTATTTTCAGAGTTACCACCCATTGAAATAATTACAGCGTTTTTTCCCTAAAATTGCTCCCCTCTGTTATCGTAAAACATGGATAAACCCACTTCTAAGTTATATATTTCAAAAAATCCAATTGAGCCTCTGTACAGAGGTCTGAGCTTCTACAGGCAAAATATTATTATAATAGAAACATTTTTCACAAAAGAGACTATTTTGAAAATTGGTCACTCAAAGTTCATTTTTTGCCAAAATATTATATTTAAATAAATTTTTTTTGTCAAAATGTCCTTAAAACAATTTTATACATTTATTCTAATCTGAGTGACACTAAATATCATAAATATTATCCATTTATAGGCTTTTGCAAAATCACGGTTCCGAAAGTAGTCGGATACCTTGAGTAGCAAAATAGAAGGTGATTACCCTTGCATTTTTCCTTTCTATATAGGGTGTTGGACTATTATTTTTATCTGTTACTATTTATTCTTTAATTAAATTTAATTATTCCAATAAAATAGTATAGTAAAGAGAAATCACATCATCAGAAATCTGACCGTCCCAGGAGAGATTCGAACTCTACCTTTGGATCAGAAGTCCAACGCACTATCCATTGTACTACAGAGACGCAAAGAACGATTTTCCTTTTTTCATATGGTGTTTTACAATTTTTTTATTCATTAATTGTATTTAATTAATGAATTAATATTTCAAAAAACTGTTTGTATTAACATCAAGCAGAGGTGCACACAAGGGGGATGGGGTCCTAGGGGTCCGAAGCCCTCCATAACTCTTGATTTTTTTCTCGATTGGTTATAATTCTATGTATATAAAAGGTAAAATTTAACTATGTATTTGTTTTTTAATAATTAATGTTATTAATTAGGGCTAGTTATTTATTCAATAATTAATTTTGTATTGTTTTTGCTCCCGAAAATCGATAAAATCAAAAGAACATGTTGGGCGGCGTATTGGAGCAGAATACCAAAATTGTGGACTGTCGACCCTGGATTCCCCCCCCTCCACCTGCCTTGAAAATTTTTTGTGTGTGCTGTTAACCACTACAAGTTTTAAAAAAATGTATTTGAACTTGAGTGGATGAATAAAAAGTATTTTACTAACGATTGAAATATTTGAACATGAAATATATATAGGGAGAGTGTAAACTAATAGTAGGAAATGAAAAAAATGTAATTATTTAATAGTATATACAGTAGAGTATTCAAAGTTGATTACCACTGTTCTAAGTTAACCTGTTTTTCATAACATTGATTATTCTATATCATTTTCTTTAAAAACCTTGCATCGAACAACTATGTAAATTATATATTAATGCAGTGCTTCTCAAACTTTCAATATTTGTGACCCAATTTTCAGTCATAATTTTCATCGAGCCCCCTCCCCATTCAATAGCAATGTTTTAAATGTAATAATAATGTACTTTGAAGATAAAGCTACAGAACAACTTTAATTGTAAACCGTACAAAATATCAAGATATGTATTAAACTTCGTAAATATTACCTTTTAATTATATATATATATATATATATATATATATTAAGTAAGTTACCTTTATGGAATGAGACATTTTATGTTACTTTCCCTTTCTAATTTTTAAATTAAATCGTTCCTCGCCGGTACAGAGCTAAAATAGAAAATTCTTATTTAGTTTTTTTAAAGGCTTTTAAGATTAAATTTAATTAAAAAACACGTGTTTGTTGCAAGTCGAAGATAATGCTGGTTTCTCAATTGTTGCGACCCCCATTTAAAAATAAATGGAAAATTTTACTTCACATCTACTCTTTCTTATAGTATCTTATGAAACGCAAACTGATTGATTATTTGAGGTAATTCAAATAGGAGAGGGGGAGATCGGATTACTGGTGACAGGCATCGTAATTTTTAATTACATTTCTCTATCTTGTTCGCAAGATCATAGCCTGCGTGTTATTTCTAGAATCATGGGCTCCAGTCCTAACGTATTATTAAGACATGTATTGACAGGCTGATGCCTTTTGAACCTGTCAAGGTTCAAAGTCTTCACTTTGGCATTTGAAGAGGTGGAGGCCAATTCAATTATAACCCTCACTTTTGACTGTGATTCAAAATAACAAGGCCTGTAGCCAAAAGCCATCGAGATTCTACCAAAGTTACGTTAATCAATCAGTAGTCAAGTAACGAGGACAATACCAGAACCGGCATCTCATTTCCTAAATCCAGGCCAGGGTATTTCAACACGAAATATATGTGTATGTTAACAGCATTATACATGACAATATGTTTGAATTCTTTTTGATGTGTGAATTTCTAATCAAGCAAAATAAGTAAATAATAATCCAAAATATTTATATCAGATTTTGACGTCGCATGCCTGAATGCGAGGAACATGTATGAAGATACCGGAATTAAATTGGATTAAAACCATTTTACCTTTGGACACAGCACGAGCGGCGTAACGGAGAACATTTGGGCCCTCAAGTTGGATTTTGCAACAGGATGGCGATGCATGGCGATGGTAAGGCTTTGGGGCCCCTTAAAACCCTGACCCCCCTCAATGCGGGGGTGAACGTTACGTCACTGCTTCTTGAGAAGGCCAAGGCCCACTCTGGGCAGTCGTGTCACTGAGGAAGGGAGGATAAAAATTGCATTAAAAATTAAAAATTGCAGCTTGAAAGTACAGTTACGCGTTATAGGCAGATTTTACAGTATTTGAAATTGAATACATTTGTCAAAATAAGTCAATCTCCTCGCCAAATTTGCTTCCGAATGGAAATATTCCGAACCATATCTCAAATAAACGAACAATTCACTTAACTACTGTTGACAGAAAAGTGCTTTAAAGTCATCTAAATGCTTATATTTTTAAGGAAAGAAAGTAAGATTAGGAATTTCATAATATATAAAAAGAAAGGCTAAAAAAAATATCTTGAACATTCCCAAAAGCATTTTCAGCACAATGCTCCAAAACTAGCTAGTAGGGAAAATACTTAAACATTTTGATTGTTTGAAATAAATTACAGAAATGCGTTTGGTGCTTATCATTAAACCCTTAATGTACATTTTGTTTCATTTGCTTTTAGCCAGGGAGTATCAAAAACAAAACTCACATTTTGTTCCTTTAACTCTTCGCTTAAAGATCTTGATAATATTTAACTTTATCCTTTTACCATGCACTCCTTCCCCCTCTAAAAGCCAAATCACCGCCCCGGATCTTCCCCTTGTTTCCCATCCCTCTCCCCTTCATTTTCTGAGAGTTGTGTTCAATGTCAAAAACTTAATTCTTACAAAACGAAAGGAACCTTTGCGTACTTATTACAAGAGCTTCTCTTTGCTCTTTTACAAACAAATCTTTCTCTCTCTCTCTCTCTCTCTCTCTCTCTTGGAGCTTAATTATAATCTATGGAAAGCATCTAAAGCAAGTCTAGGAAAATTCTCCAAAAAGTTGGAAAAGATACAGCGAAAGAGAAGGAGGATGGAGAAGAGGGCTTGCTTTTCTTTGCGGTTTTCGTTCGAAAGGAGCGTGTTATTGCACTCATTATTCAATTATGAGTTTTAAGAGGGTGGGTAATGTAGCCAATTATCGCCCCTTGTAAAAGATCCGATCAGATTGGAGTGGTAAGTAATGAAACGTGTCAAGTCAGCTTGGATGAACGGGAAAAGGTTGTCGTTCATTCTTTCACTTCGCATCCGTTCCAAGACTGAATGGAGTAATTGTTGTTTCTCATCGGCTTAGTGGGGGAACAACTGTTTCTGGATCGCGTGACTTCTTATTCATGTCTGTTTCTTTCAGGATGTCTGAGTTGTTTCTGGAATTAAATTGAGACTTTACAATAAAAGAAATGTTCGGTACAATAGGAGAAGGTTGCTACAAAGAGAGTTCTTGATTTTTATGAACTTTTATAAAGTTTGTTTCTTTGTATAATCTCACTAGGAAAAAAAGGAGCTCTTTTCATTGCTAATTAAATTTTCTAAATAAAATGAGTAGGTGTCATTTGTTTTGGGGGTTCCTTTCTCTGAGACATAAGTATGGGGTTTATAGATCCAAAGTAAGTAACTTGAGGCTTAAGAATTTGTACTTTTAATAATTTCAGTGTTAACGCATGCTAATTTATATGAAATAGAAAATTATATTACGTGATGTTTACTTATACAGTCTTATAAGAAATGAAAAAAAAATAATCTTTGTTATAAGTTAAAACAAAAATGTCTTTTTTTACATAAGGTATTTTGCTTGCCCTTTTAAATTAAAAAAGTTGCTTTTAAGTTAAATGGAGTGATTGAGTATTTATTAACATTGCACTATAAAGCAACACTAGAGCTATTGATCACGTGATGACGACATCTGAGATGGCATTCCCCTCTCTCTCTTTTCCACTGAACTCTGAACTTTCCAACCACGTTTACGGGAAGTTTTTGAACCTCGAAAAATGTAACGTCTCTCAAACATTTTTACAAGGCGAGTCTTCAATGACGCTAGAGCTCGAACGCATGTACCTCACTCAGTTTACGGGACCTTAGGCGCTGGGGTGCATGTGCAGATGTTTCGGTCAAGTGGTCAGTCTGACGTGAAGCCCCCAGTGTTCAGTTCTCAAACAAGCTGGGTACTTATTTATCGACAAACTACTATGTATTTTCATGCATTTTTTTTCTCTTAATAAGAAAAGATTTCCCTTCTGGGAATGAACAAAATACGGAAAGCACCAGCCACTTAATGAAATGTTTGAGAAAGTTTCTGTGTTATTAGATTGTCATAATGTATCAACAGAAGAATTCGCCGCAATAGGTGATGATAATGTGTGTACAGACCCAATTATAGAAAATATACTTTGGAGTTTGTTCAAAATTCAAAAAATATCATTGAGGCAGTTTCCGTCGATGAAAATGAAATGAATAATGCAGCTCCTGTCTCCGCGTCATCTGAAATAAAAAACACGATGAAATGTATACGCTGTTATTTAGACGTACATTCGAATTATGAAATGAATAACAACATGGATGACATCGAAGAATTTGATGCTAAAAAAAAAGACAATACAGAGAAAAATATAAAATTATTTTCCAAAAGCTCCAATGAATCTGTTGTTTTTTTAAAAACTTGAAGAAAATTTTGAATTAGATTTCATTGATCTCTCTTGAGAATACTTTTGTTTCAATGATATTTATTAAATACCTACATATATACTTATCTATAAATACAATATATACTTTAATAAAATTAATTTCGCTTAATATGTTTTTTTTTTTTTTTTTTTGCAATGTCCTTTAACACGAAAAAAATATTTCAGTCCCCTCAGTTTCGTCTTAAACAATTTTCACCAGTGGCGTAACGGAGAATATTAGCCCCCCTGCAAACTCAGGTTTTGGGGGCCCTAATATTCTATATATTAGAATATTAGGGCTATATATTCCTAATATTCGTATCCCAAGCCCAAATACGCATTTAGCGTCAGTCAAGCTTTGCCCTCCCCCCAGAGTTCCTGCCCCAACCGGATTGCGGGGGTATAAGTTACGCCACTGATTTTCACTTGTATTACAATTTCCAAAGCTTCAAATCTATCCCACTGTTGAAAAGAATGGAAATAATCCATCTTAAAAAGCTCTATGTATAAGCGATAAAGTCGCCAATA